CGAGGGGTGGAGCCTGTAGAGCAGCAGGAGGCGGGACATGACCTATGAACTCTGCTGTGGAAAGATCAGTGTCTGAGAGCAGCTAGCATTGTTGCACAACATGAACTTTACTTTTACTAACATAAGCACTTTACCTTGTAAATGCTAAGGCAGTGACGATAAACTGATTCAGGTCTTGATGGATCAAGAAAGAAACCTTCTTTATATGGCACCTTTAAGAACTCAACACTTTTCAATAACTCCCCGGAGAATAATTCATGGATCATATTTAGGGGACTGATGTTCGTGGGATTTGGTGCAGATCCATAAATGCTGCTGTGTTTTCAGGCGTCTCTCCTCTCGGGGCTTCTTGTGTTCATGCTGTGTGTCGTCGTCTCTCGGTGTCAGGAGGAATTCTCTGGACAACTCTCAGGTCAGAGTCACTGCAAACAGATCCAGTGAAAGTTTACATCTGCACATTTCAACCTTAAATAAACCAGAGGACAAAATCTGATCAGATTTCATATAAATCAAACGTTGTTTCATCAATAGGAAAAACAACAGTTGTGCTAAATATTAAATGAAAAGCAGAAGACACATCCGGTAATAAATCTTTGTTAAATGTTATTTATCATATTCATCCTATGAGTTCTACTCTAATTGGCAGCCAAACAAAACACATGTTTAATTTCAGATAAATGACCAGAACGCTTTGGCCCAGATACACGGTGATGTGTGTTTTCTGGAAACTATATTTGTGAAAGTGTCACAATCAGGATTATTCTCAGAATTATTTTTAAAACATTTGAACGTGTGACAGAAGAGTTGTCTTTCAATTCAGGGCTCATCTGGGATTTGAACCCAGGACCTAAAGACCAATGAGCTAATGATTTGCCCATCGCCTCATAAAATTCAGTCTGACGAGATGTTGATTTGTTTTCATGCCTGTTCAGGTGAGGAGCGCACCTATGAAGGCTCTTTGGTCAATAACTATGACAACATGGCCGCCCCTCAACCAGGTGAGACACGTGTCCTCCACCGTTCATTCTAACCACTGTCCATACGAGAGGACTCTTTGACTGACGTTGAGAAAAGACTTCAGTTGTCCTCTGTGCCGTCAGAGTATCCACCGGAGCCGACTCAGCGCTACGACGACGACTACGACCATTACGGCCCCATCCCCTCCCGGGTCACCATGATCACTGAGGACACTTTCCCTTACGCCACCACCACCGAGTCCCACTACGCCAAGGAGGACATGGAGACCATGCAGGTGGGTGGGGGGGTCGTACTTACTCTCAACAGCATGATTGACAGCTGTTTGTTTGTTGTTGTCTGTGTTTAAAACAATAAGAATAACAACAACAACTCTTCATTTTTAACTTTAACGTAATCTGGGGGATTCTCTAGAACGTCCATATTGTGCCGTGTGTCATAGCTGCTGTGGTTGTTGGTCTCAGGTCCCGTACGAGTACCCTGCAGCAGGGCCGGACACAGATTCCTCCGAGGAGTCTGGGGCTGATGCTGCACTCGGGGAGGAGGGGCCCACAGAATGCGACTGTGAACCTGGAGAACCTGGATTTGCTGGATTTGCAGGACCAAAGGTACCGAGACACGACATCTGATCACCGTCACTTTATCCTCACGAAACCCAGCGGTCTGTTCTGCGGACAGTGACGAAGCACCGGGAGAGAGGACGACACTCTGTCCTCTGGTTTCTGAAAATATTACATGACCAGATGGAGGCGCTGTTCAAACGTCAATCTTCAAAAAGCCTTTTCTCCTGCACCACTTTCTCAGAAATGTTTTGTTTGTGGTTCCTGAAGTAAAAGTGAATTTTCTGAAAAAAGATTTTTGAAATTTTAGCCATAATGTTTTAACCATCCGAGGTAGATTCCCCACAAGCGATGAGGTTGTGAAACGACGTGATGTTGTCCACAAGTCACAAGATCAACATTTGCTCCACACGACCTCAGTGAGGTGTAGTAGCGATGTGATTGATTGGTGGAGCTCGCTGTTGCCATGGGAATGTTTCACTAAACACATAAAAGATATATCACAACACTATTTGGTTTATGGGATGTGTAGTTCCTTAACTCTAAAAATGATCCACACAGTCTTTTTCTGTTTTCAATATTTATTTTGCTGCAAATCAAACGTTTTATGGTCACGATTCCTCTCATCGCCGGTCGCCCACTCTTCAAACTCTCTGTAAAGATTTCCTCAGATGTTCGCTAAATGCCACGAGAGAATCCCGTCAAATTCTCACAGATCAGCTGAGTAGATTGCCAAAGGTCAAAGGTCACGTTGACCTCACACGAGTCTGGAATAAGAAGATGTGTGTAGACGGAGGTTTGCAGCCACAGGACGGTGATTCTAGTGCTGTCGTGAGTCAGAGTGATTCTTCTCCTCTTGTCAGGGATCCAGAGGCTTGCAGGGTAAAACCGGTGAGCCAGGAGCTCAAGGCCGAGAGGTGAGTCTAAACCTGCAGCACATTCTTATTTAAGATGAGGACGAAGTCCGATCGAGATGCAGACATTGACGTCTGTGGGTCAGTGAGCGCTGAGTCATTCCATGATTCTTTTAGGGTTACAAAGGAACCAAAGGTGTTCGAGGAAGAGGCGGAGACCCCGGACCAGTGGTGAGTAATTATCATCACGACACACACGTGTACTGACAAATGTTTCCCCCATGACACCGAGCAGACTCCGTGTTGTTGTGGTTAACACGGACAGAAACTGAAAGTAGACACAGCTGCTTCAAAGCAAAATGAAACGAAAACTGCCGAGACTCTGAATTTAAAATAAATGTAAAACTACACAAAGAAACAAAAGTAAAAGTTGAAGGAAGTGAAACTTTTGCTCTTTGCTCTAGAAGAGAAACACGAGGTTTGTAACGACAGGAGAAAAAAACTTTGATTCAAGTTTCTACTTCTTATGTATTTTCTTCAGTTCAGTTAGAGACATTTTAAATGAATTCATTTTGCAAATACACTTTTTCATTTTATTGCACCGCAGCTGTTGCCAAGCACGATGCTAGATTTAAATATTAAAACTAAAACCTTCCAACTACTGAATTATTATCAGGCCTCAAGTGAGACACAGACTGAACTCAATAAACTGAAAAAGCTCTAAAAGCTTTGGTTTGAGTCGTGTTTGTATCAACGGAGGCATCAATGATAATAAACCAGTGCATTTGTAGGACCTGTTTTTATTAGCTTTAGCTTTAGCTTTGACCTTTGACCCGGTGTCTCGCAGGGCGATGTCGGGCTTGAAGGAGACGACGGTGCTTCTGGTTTCTCTGGAGCCATGGTGAGTTCAAACATCATGATTAACGTGGAACCTGGTGAACGCGGCAGGAGCCTGAAAACAGCTGATTACTGTTTACGTCGACCTTTCAAAATGTTTCTAATGGTTCTTCAGAATGAAGAGAAGAATATTCTGTGAGTCTTTATTTCATCTACAGGGAGAACCTGGACTTCCAGGAGACCCAGGCGAGCATGGAGAGCTGGGTCTGAAGGTAAACACACACACACACACACACACACACACACACACACACACACACACACACACACACACTCTTTGTGATCGACAGTTTATTGAAATCCGTCCCCTCTCCCTTTCATCAGGGCGACGTCGGTATGGAGGGACCTGGCGGAGGCGTCGGAGCTCCTGGTGAGACTGTAAGGAAACCCGGCGACCTCTCAACCTCTCTTTATGATGCCCTGCGCTGAAACGTTCATCCAGTGAATCCTGCTGAAAAGAAACAGATGAAGTTTGAGTTCCACACATGATTCTGTCCAGTTGTGAGACAGGAAACAGAGGAGAACATATTTTCTGTATTCAAACAAACTGTATTTTGAAACAGAATCATGAAATTGGCTCCAGATTGTTTTTCGATGTAACAGGAGCTGAGTGTTCGTATTTGTTAATAGTTCAGACGTGAACTGTGCTGCTCAATATCTGTCTGATATTTTCTGAACCATTCATTTCCACGGTTACAATAACTTTATTTTAATTTTATCATCTCGTTGTGATGAAATGTGGTGGAATGATGGGAACTGTAGTTCTTCACGGTTTCCATACTGAAGCAACATTTAAGTAACGAAGCAGATGAAGACGATTTGCTCGACTCAACCACTGGATCAAGCTGCGATCATTTATTTCTTGTCTTGTACCAAACGTGGTGGTGAACAGCACCGTGACCACAGCGCTGCATTTCTACACTGTTCATCATTCTGTTTATATCAGGTCAGACAGATCTGAGAGCAGTGTGTGTGTATATTTATTAATTATGACTCTCTAAGCTGTGACCTCTAAAGTCAACTGTTTTATTATTCGTTTGTGTTTTGTCAGGGCCCTCGTGGTGATGCTGGGCCTCAAGGACCAAAGGGAGGTAGAGGTATCAAGGTAAAGAAAAGTTTTACACTGTGTATCCTCACAGACTGATCATAACCAAGAAAAGAGAAGGAAAAATAATAATAATAAAAAATCTATTATTTACAACAGTAATTAACCTAAATACAACAATAAGAGAGAAGGAAAAGAAGTTTGATGATGTTTGAACAGATTTCCTGTAAATCAGTACGTTTCTCTTCATAGTTTTATTTTACATTATTTTATGACTTGAGCTTTTTCGTCCTCGTGTGTTTTCTGTTCAGGGGTCTCATGGGGATGAAGGCAAAGAGGGTCCACAGGGACGCGATGGACAGAAGGTCAGGACGTCAAATATTACAAAAGCAAAAGAGGATTCTGTGTGTTTTATGTTTCTCCTGATGTTCGTGTTATTTTTATTCTATTACTGATTTGCTGCGTCTTCTTCAGACTCTTCCTGCTCTTCAGAGTCTTGTTATTCTTCCATATTTGGGAAAAAGAGACGTTATCGGTCGCAGCTGACTCGGTCACTGTTTTTTTCTCACACAGGGTCAAACCGGAGCCCCCGGGTTTCCAGGTGACGTCGGAGACAGAGGCTACACTGTAAGAAACGTACTCATCATCATCAGCAGCAGCAGCAGCAGCAGCAACCATTAAACCATCTGAACCCCTGAATTTTAATTTTTACTAATTTAGCTTTTACTTTATTCTGTTTGTCGTCTTTATTCAGACATTTAAAAAGTGGATTATTATGAGAAATACATGTTGGAATCTGATAAAATGTGTTTTTGAAAAGCAGTATTATGCAAATACTTCAGAACAGATCAGAAAGAGACGTGGTCCGAGGATCCAGTTCAGGTCAGGAAAGACAATTCTCCTTTAAATGAGAAAAAGAGCAGAATGAAAGATTTAAAGAGGTAAAAGAAAGAAAAACAATAAATCTGTCTCTTTAAAAATAAGTTGAAAAGGAATCAAATCTAATTAAAATAGACACAATCACACTCACTCAAAAAATGCAAAATCTCGCTCCAGACGTTCTCTTCTCTTCGTACATTGTTTTTCTTCTAATCTGAGTATTTCCTGTCCGTCCCCTGCAGGGGTACCCTGGACAGCTGGGGGGCATCGGACCCACTGGACCAAAGGTAGAAGCACATTGATGAAGCAGCTCCTGCCTTGTTATTGTTATTCTCCCTTCACGCTCCATCACTGATGTCAACAGCCTCAGCTTCAGTAGTTTTAGTTTCCAGATGACGACCTCCACACTGTGAGAGGAGATGTAAATACTGTAAATACTGTAAATACAATTTACTCTATAACCACCAACCATTCA